AATTGTCATTTTATCATTTCCCATGATAAATATTGTGGTGGAATACAATTTCTGTAGGTATGGGATGAGAAAATACTGATATAGAGATAACAAGCAAAGCAGTGACCGTAGACTTGAACAGAACATAAACAAAGTTGCCCAAGTACTTTATGACAAGTGTGTAGTGTAACTTGCTGAAAACTTGGTCAGAATAAGTGATGACATTGCAAAGACTAAAAATTACGTGACCAACTAGGACTGAGTAGGAGAAATTGCCTGTACAGTTGTGCTGACTAGAGTGATATTTAACACATTTTATAGCAAGTCACCGTTGGTAGTTTATAATAAAATGCTAGGAAATATTTCTTGGACTAGTAGTTTCAAGTTAAAATTGAAACTGAGAACACAAATTAGTTACAGTTAAAAATAAGTTTAGTCTTACGCTAGGGGAAATAAAATTACCTTCAGCAGATTTCTTAATAGGTAAAAGGAAATCTGTCTTCTTAAGTTCTAGGGACGGAGTATGCACGGAAGCTCTCTTTGACATGTGCATCTTAGATTCTTCTGAAGCTAAAAATAAAAAAAAAGTACCATTTTATCAGAACAATCAATATAGTAAATGCAATTAATTTTTAACAATTTGAACAAAATTATACCATGCATGTCTGGAAAACAGTAAAACAGATAAATTGATGTTATATTCAGTTGTTATTTCAAGTACTGTCTTTGTCCCAAATATCAATGAATCAAATCACGTTCAAGAATTCAGTAAGCTCACTTCAGAAATAAAACTGTTGCCAGTCAGACAATGTTAATCACATCATGAAAAAAAAACTTTGTGCGATGATCATACAGAATTTGAGTGAAATAAGTACAGGCATGACTGGGAACTGAAAAAAAGGGCTCTCATTATGTCATGCTCCACGAACAAAAATGGTTGATGCATGTGTTGGGCATTATCAATGCAAAGAAAATTGACGTCTGGACAATGGAACTAATTAAACTAATACAGTAATCTTTGTCAAGTTGAATCCAAGACTGAATCTGAATCTGAAACAATTTGATATGTTAATATTTTTTAGGGTGTTTTGGGAATCATCAACACACTATCAATGATGTTACTATTAATTTCTATGATATGGTCAAAGACATGTTGAGCTTTTTCTTTAGGTCAAAACTGTCAGCCAGTCTGTCAAAGAAATAAAAAGTATATTTCTTTGTCATAGACATGTTATGTCTGGACTGTATACTATTGTACATTAAACAAAAAATAAAACAAACGTGGCCACCAGTTGGCCATTTTAAAAATTCAAACAAACTGACTTGCATTAGTAACCATCATCAGTTGAGTTTTGCTTTGACACTGTTGAAGAGTTGCATTAAAAATGTCTGTCCTTTCTAACTCCTACAGTATTTTACCATTTCCCCGCTGGTGAATGGCAGCTTACCTGCTTCTACAATACAACGTGATATATCTTCTCTAAAATGAACTATATTGTCCATGTCATACATTAATTTTGTAGACTGTCCATTAGCAAACTGCTTTGCAAACTGAAAAGTATTATGACATTATCAGCAATAAAATAAACATTGCTGTCGATACAACGGCCTGATAAATGATTTTCAGTGTCTATAGAGAATACATACATTGAGAAATTACTGTAAAACCATTTATTTTCACTGACATTTTATATCACTATCATGATTTTTAATTAATTAATTTTAAATGCAGCTGAAAGTCCATAATTACCTTGATGACTAACACACCACATGGTACAGCATCATCATGCATTGTATGATCCACTTTCAATATAGTATAAGTACTGACTTCACCCTTCTTACTTGCATAATTACTTAAAGATAACAGATATTTTAGTTGTTGAAAATGAAAAAATCTTGTGCAAGAGTTAGGTGCATGCATGTAGGTGGCACAGGATCCTACTGATAGTCCTGCTTTCACCAACAGAAAATAATTTATAGCAAACACTTGTATCAAGAATAATACTTCAAGCAGGAGTGCATATGGATCCAACCTTATCCAATTCTCAGTAATTTGATCCACAACTACAGGTACGTCACACTTTGTTATAGCAACCAAACACTCCTGGGGACATAGTTATGTTCAAACAATAACTACCTATTTCTCATATTACAGTATAGAATTTTGAGTTAAATTAAATATCTACAAAATTATGCAAAAACAGAAAAAAATAAATTATAATTGAATTCTTCCTACTTACTTCCAATTCCACTGAATTGTCACCATTGTCTCTTTACTTTCACCAGTAGAATTAAGATATATTATTTCATGACTTTTTTGCTTAACCACCTGTGAAGCAATACAAAAATCAATTCTCATACTGGACAGAAAAAAATAAAATTGTTCAGTACTGATGGATATTTGCAAAGCAAATGGAAAACAATTATACAAGAATTTTAGAGTCAACTGTAAATTTGAAAATGATGTCTGAATTATTTACAGTATTTTACAACTTACCACAAGTGTGCAGTGTCCATTTATTATGCAAGAATTTGTTGTTTCTCCACCTTCAAACATAGCACCTATTACCATCTCATACTTGGAAAGATTTATCTGTAAATACATTGTATGCATTAATAATAATACACATGACTAGTAACAATTGTTGCTAAATGGAAGAAACAAATTTCCACTGGCTGACTAGTCTGGAAAATATTAAAAAGTAATTACCTTTTTCGGTTTGGCCATTTCACCCTTCAAACAAACAGATGTCATTAAATTGTGGTCAAAAAAAGAATGGCCTGAAAACAATATAAAATTACATTGTCAGCAATGAAATTATGTTTAACAAGTCATTGTCAATGACACGTCCCCGTTCCGTTCATATTTGAGTGACATATACATTCAAAGCAGATCATGACCGAAATGCACCTGCATATGTACAACACATTGTACTAAATCTGAACAAAATCCATCCATGCATGACTGAGATCTGGTTCCGGAATTGTGAAAATACGTGATTTTAATGCATTTTCGGTCTTAAAATGGCCATCTTTCAGCTATTGTTAAGCGGATCATGAAACAAATGCACATATCTATTTGTGACATGATGCACCATGTGTGTGTGAAGTTTGAACTTGATCAATCCAGACATGTCTTGGATACGGATCCAGAACTGAATTCTTTAAGAAAATGGCCGCCAGTCAGCCATTTCGAACTTGATCCGGGAAAAAAAATGACGTGCATCAAGGTCCTATTATGTTTAATGTATGTACCAAATTTGAATGAAATCCGTCCATGCATAACTGAGATCTGGGTCCGGAATGGTGAAAATGTGCGATTTCAATG